CTCGATGACCAATTAGTGCTTACTGAACCGTAGCACTATGCAAATGTGATGTGGCGTGATTCCCAGCCGACCAATTAGCGATCACCAGCGATAACATTATGCAAATCTGTGATTCCCAAGCCATAGTCTTATGCAAATCATGCCGTGTGGCGTAATTGTCTGCTGACCAATCAGTGGCTGTACTTTCAACCATCTGTTGATGACCGTTACGACTAAAAAAAAAACTTCGCTAGGTCTTACTTTCAGGGGGAGGTCTTATATTTCGCAATTCAGCAAAATCTGTGCTAGGTCTTATTTTCTGCGGATGTCTTATTTTCGGGGAAACACGGTAGAAGAAGTCTGAAAACACTTGGGAAACTAATATTTCTTTTCTTTTTTACTCCATTAATGTAGTTTTTGTATATTGTTGGAAGTTTGGAATATTAATCAATATTATAAATTTTCATTCTGAAATAAACTTTTCAGTTTAAAAATAACATAACATACAAAATCAGGAATCGGTTTTGCAAAATATTTACTATTATTATTTTTTAATATTCTTCTTGATTAACTATTAACAATAACAAGAAATCTAGATTTAAGTAACACTTTTACTGTATTTAAGAGCTTAAATCCTGTTCTGAATAAAACATTTCTGTAAATTTTTCAAAATTATTTATTTAAAATTAACTGTTGTTTAAACATTAAGTTGTTACAACATGATAATATTGTTCAGCACTTCAAACAACCTTTACAGCTCCAGTGGTATGTGTTTACATCTTAGCAAACGTTTTCAACCTCATTGAGGTCTTCATCAGGCTACTTTAATTAGGAATTTGAATGCGTTTGGAACGGAACATATACGATTCAAAATTTATAAACAGATTTAAAAATACTCATGGAACGTCACGCATGCGCTGAAACGATTGTAAAGCACGTGTAATAACAAGTTTGTGTAACGGTAGAAGCAGACGAATTATACACACTCATTTATGTGGATGAGTTCCCTCATAACAAAACTTCCACGCGCTAGATATACCGACTGCATCCGTAGAGTTGATGCACATGCCACGTAATCCTGCCTTGTATATTTCTAGAGTTTCCATTGTTCTTAGTTGATCAGTGCAATGTGAGAGCCTGATCATGGGGGCATTTTGTACGTCGGCCGTGATTCCTGGTTCAGTGGCAACCGTTGAGAGGGCAGTGGTGTGTTTTTTTATTGTCGATGTCACGTTTGTGCTCACACAGCCTTTTGTGAAGGGAGCGTTTGGTTGAGCCCACATAAACCAAACTGCTGTTAAATCTATCATCCCACAGCGGGATAGCATATACCCCCGGTGCGTGTTTTAAGACGATTGCGTCTTTCCCATTGCGAAGCAAGTTATAAACTGATCTAGGCCTTTTATAAGCTATCTTAGTTTTATTGATGGATGAAATTTCCTTGTATATTGTGTCCAGA